TCACTGCGGTTTTCGATTGTTGACTTGTATTTGCTTTGCCTTGTACATTTCGCTTGACCATTGCAGTTGAGGGCCGCTAACTTGCATTTGCATGGATTTGAATATTGTCGGGTCTGATTCTCTCAAAGGTGGAAGTGTGCAAATTCCGATTTAGTTGCGTCACCATGTCTCGACGTGATGATCGTGATAGATCCAGGACTCGACGCAGACGTGATCGGAGTCCGTCCCCTCAAGCTCACAAAGCACGCCGACGTGAGCATAATGACAACCAGGTCTCGGAGAACATGGATTGGAACAACTTGGTCTCATGGCAACACAACTCCGGCTACAATGCTGCTAACAACTTTCCGATGGTGCCTACCAATTTTCAATCGACTCACAACCCCACACAGCAATTCCAATACCCGGCGATCAACTACATGATGCCGATCCCTCCTGATCCCACACCGTCCAAGTTCATCCCACCGATGATGCCACCACCGGTCACTACTTCCCAACCTACACCTTCACCTGGACCTCCTGCAGCTCTACCGGTTCGTCCTCAGAAAGCCTGGCTTACTCCCTCGCCTGACTGGACACCTGCAGATGGCATGTTTGATGTCAATCAACTCTACAACTTCAGCCTGCCCATGACTGTTGCCAACACTCCACATGGCAACCTTCGCGACATGTCAGGCATGGATATTAGGGACGTACGCCTGGTTCAGGTTATCCACGGGGCCTCACCAACTGGCTACTCAGGCCGTTTGCACACGGCCGATTCGTGACGTGGGAAGGCTTTCGCACCCGCACTGAGGCCTTACTTTGGAGTACCTGCACCAAATTACTACGAAGATCGCAGTCACTCAACCTGCTCACCCTGGAAAAGGACCTTGCCAACACGCTGGGTCTCAACATTGATGACTTCAATCAGCGCATCAAGGTCCACGACCATTTGGCCAACCTGGTACTTCAATTTCTTCAACAACATCACACCTCTCTCGCACCTGCTGCCCAGACCGATGACATGGTCAAGAAGTTCAATGACTTGAATCGTGCACATGAACTTCTACAGGCTCAGTATTCCGCATCACTTCGCGCATCGGCCTCGCCCACGATGACAAACCAGAAAGATGATGCAGAGTTGGTTACACCGCCACCGGTCAACCACACACCATCCTCGTCACCTGCCAGCTCCCTGCCCACAGCCAGCGCGGCCGCCCTGGATGGCAAGTCGTTTGATAGCGTGGTGCAACCTCGGATCATGCAGTCTCTTCACGGAGTGTCGTCACCGCCGTCCAAACCGGCGGCGTCACAGTTGCTCACCATGCACAGCACGCCGGATGAAGTTGTCAAGTACGACACATGGACCAGTGACCAACCTCGCCTTTTCCTCAAGCAAGCACCCACAACAACCACTTTGGCATCGCTGGTTAAGTGGGCCAATCACCCGTCCCGGCTCAACGGCAACAAGTCGTTAGATTCTATGGCGACGCAGCTTCTTCAGGCCAGGCAACGCATGCCGAAGGGCGATGCGCCCACACTCGGTGCAATGGCAGCATCATGGGGTCTTGAACCCGGGTACCTTACCAAACTCACTGAGAAGGCATTGAGTCACCTCATCGTGACCGCTCGCCTGCTCTGTGGATGAGAAGGCATCATGACGACCTTCGTTCTCATATGAGCCCGGCGCGGCAACAATGTTACGGATGAGTCCAGGTGAAAACTCGTCCGTCAAGTGTTTGCGTTGCACATGATTGATCTTGTACTTGCTTGTTCTTGCATTGCCTCTTGTGTGATTGTCTGTGATGCTTGTATTCATGTCGCCGCCTTGTGGTAGATTTCGTTGGTTGCATCTCACCATGTTGGATGAACTTCGCCATTGCGGAATCTATGATGATGTTGCACAATGGCAGTCGCTGGACGACCTTCTGCACTCGTTGACTACATTCTCGACGTGCTGGCATTACTGTTTCCCTGGACTACCACCACCGTCGATTCCAATTGAAGAGTACGAATCCATCACACAATTGCCGTGGCTGGGTCTCATCATCGAGGTCTTAGTTATGGTCCGGATAGCCCTCCAGATTCCGAATTGCGCTATGTCAAACTCTCAGCACACCGTGGCCAACAGGTATGAACTTCACAGATGTCGGTGCGCTGCCTATTTATTGATCAGTTTCTTACAACGTCTTATTTCACAGGATCACGGCTACATCCCGCCGTTCTTCGAAGTTCTTCACTTCTACAAGACTTCTCTCTTGTGTGAAATCATGCACTCAACTTTTGCTGACACGCGACATCTACGCTCATTGCGGGCACGATTTCCTGACCTCTACGACTTCACACATGATCCAGGTCATCACCAACAACCATGCGTCTACATTCGACCTTCCCCATGGCACACACCGTACTATGTTGGGGCGACTGATCAGGATGTTCTACGGCGTGAACACTCGCGCAGTCGCAAATTTCTACAACTAATTCGTGGACGGCATGCCTTCTTTGAACCGGCGCTTCACTACTGGAAACGGTCCAATAATTACTGGCTCTTCTGTGCTGTACCAGTGGAAATCAAACTTCCAGTTTCCTCGGTGTGGGCTCAAGAAAGCAAATGGCAATACCTGCTACGCCCGCATTTGAATGCGCCGTGGGTACACAGAATCTTGCGCAAGGTGGGCTTCCGGGAACATCTTGTAGATTTTCGACGCCACTCGTTGTCGTCTCCCACTTCCCTCGGCTTGCACAAGCGCTTTCGACGACGACTACATCCGGATCTCCAACGGAAACTACGACCTGACACCCTGGATGACATTCAAGCTCACTACTCGCTCCTCTATCAGCTGGGATCGAATACAGGAGCGTCGTTCCAAGTCATGCGTGACCTACTGTCAGCCGCTTTCCCTCCCACTCAGCTGTACTACTTATTGCGGCTCGCAGTATGTGTCAACGAACCCTTCCGCTCCAAGGCCCAGAAACTCCTCGCCCAGGTACTACGCAAACGACGGCTACAACCACCCACCACTTTAACACAGCTACTTTTGCCGCCGCTGCATGTCCAGAATTGGAAAGCTCTACTGGGCACATGGTTACAAAGCTGGATTGCTTCTCATCGGGATCTGTTCCCCTCTCTTTTCCTTCCAAAGATCCGGGTTGTGGAAACTCGCAGCGCCACACTGGGCGACAAGATATACAACTATCGCACATGGCAGCGCAAATGGGCGCCTGACACATTCTTTCCGTGTCGCTGTTTGGACATCGATGATAGCCATCTACACCGTGCACATGGTCACGCAGTAATGTTGGATGAGTTTTCTCGCATCAATGCGGACATTAACATTGAAATCATGACCGCCTCGATGAAGGATCAGTTTTTCGGTGATGTCGACTTATTGCATCAACGTTTCACCACACAACTTCGCAAACTTGCTCGACGCTGGCATGTACCTGGTTCCGGTCTGCTTTCAGATCTACAGCCAGTTGTGTCTCAGCTAATGGATACTCATCGGATCAACCTTCAAGATCGGGCTTATTGGTCATCGACATCGTTGCAACGCGCTGTGGCTGCTTTGTCTTCGTGGGTAGTCATCCCGGCGGATCATTTCCCCTCCCGCGCACATGTGATGTGCCCGTCCCTGTTTGCCATATTGATGCGGAAGACATTCTGCGCGGGGGATGTCTTCTCACTTTGCCGCGAATCTGCAGCATCCTTCCGCTCTGAAGTGGTAAACACAGTACCTTCTCTCCTACGTCAACGATATGCATGGGGCCTTCGACTTCAAGCACCGTTGCCCACAGCGCGCATCCTCCCAAAGCCGACCAAGGACTGGCAGAAAGCTCGACCCATCATCTCATTCTTTCGCACATGGGCAGCTCCCTTCCTCACGGTCTTCGGTGCACTTATATTTGAACTCACCAAGGCAGCCTTCCCCGACATTGCAGGTCAACTTTCAGTACAAGAACTTATCCAGCAGCTGTGGGAAGCACTGTCAAAAGCAGATCCTGATGAGTATATCCACCTGGTGTCGCAAGATTTGTCAGGCTTCTTTACGTCCATTCCTACGGAACGTTTCCATTAGGCGCTTCAAGTGTTTCTTCATCGCTATGATCAAGTTGTTGGCCTTCGCGGTTCCTCGCAATGGTCCGTGTACGAAGTCAAGTCAGATCATCGACGCCGTATGTTCAAAGGAAAGTGGCGCCGTCAAACCAAGATCCCTCGAATTTTTCGTGAACAAGATCTCCGGCACCTTCTGGACTTTGTCATTGACAACAGTCACTTCGAGATCAACGGATACCTGTTCCGCCAAGAACGAGGAGTCGCTATGGGATCACCAGCCGCGCCACCGTTGTGCAATTTGGTAGCTACGGTTGAAGATTTCTTCTGGCACCGAACCATGATTTCACTGCGGTTTTGCATGCCCGACATTGGTGTGATTTGGCATGAGCGCTACGTCGACAATCGTTTCATTCTCCTTCGTGACTCAGCCCCACACTCACCCGTGCTCAAGAACTTTCTTTCCCTGGAATTTTATCGCCCACCAGTGATG